ACCATAAGGAAACAAATGTCTTTTAAGCATAGTAACAGCAGTATCAACTCTTGGCATTTGTCCAATAGTAAATCGATGAACTCCAAGTTTTGTGGCAATAAAGTTTGTTGCATGAGTTAAATCAGCAGCAGTACCTGCTCCACCACAATAAATATTTGGTGCTAATTTATGTAATTTCATGCAAGCTTTATCTGCTACAATTGGCCCAACAGTTGCACGTGAATCGCACGCCAATACAACAGTTTGTCCTTGTTCACAAACTAATCCACAAATAGTTGTACCTGTTTTTAAAAACTTAGTTTTGTCATTAACGTAAGAAGTTGCAATTGGTAAAGGGTCATTAGACATATTCATCTTTATTTAATTATGTTATTTATCATTTAAAAGTTCAATTTTTCTCTTTGTTATTGATTTTTTAATTTTTTCATTTTATTGTTTGAAGTTTTAAATTTTTCTTTTTTTTTTACTCTTTAAAGATTGTTATATTTACCAAAATTAAATTATAAAATGCAGACTCCTTGTGAGTCACGTAATCCTACCGCTTGAAGAACTCTCATTGCAAAGTTTTGAAAAATTATATCATCTTGTGTTTCTCCATACATCAAACTCTTTAAGGTATCAACACCTTCTTCTTGAACAATTTTTAACAATTCAATAGTACGTGGTATTTGTAATATTTCTAACAGTCTTTTGTCTTCAACTAAAAGTTAATAATTAATTATAAAGAAAAAATAAAACAAACGTATTTTCTCTTTAATTGTATCGCTTAAATAGTTTGTTTTTTTATCTTTTCGTTTAGGTAATATTGGTTCAGACCTTTTAATTTCTTCTTTGCATTGGCTTTTATGTTTTTTGAAACAAGAAACAGTACAGCTAATAATGAGAGGTAAACTATAAGAGAAAGATTTAAAAAAACAAACTATGGGGTTAAACATTTAGGGCATTTATACTTTGCTTTATTTGATGTACAAACTTGGCAAAGAATATCATCTCTTTGCATTAAGTTTCTAATGAAAAAACTATTAGTTTCTGTTAAAAAATAATATATTTTTTGTTTATGTTTTACAATATATTTTATAAATAAATAGCTAAAGAAGTAAGGACATTTTTATGTTGTGAGGTCTATAAAAATGGGCTAGATAAATACAAATGGGAAGTATTTATTGATACTTGAGAGATTATTAATTTATTTCCCAATCATATCTTCGTTTTAATCAAAAAAATTAAAAAAACAATAAGACAAATAAAAATGAGATGAAAAAGATAGGAATTTTAAAGGAACTCAATTAATAAAATACAAATTAAATGGATTTTCAGGACGCTACAAAAATAGTTCAAACAACTCAAGAAGAAAGAACTGCAGAAAACAATCAAGTCATTGAAAAAGGAAGTCGTCACCCGATTATAGCAGGATTACATATTGGTCTTAAGCTTATTGCAATTATTGTTTATGCATTATTCTTTATATTTATGGATGGATATTTTGTCATATCATTTTCTATTTGTTTATTACTTACTGCAGTCGATTTCTGGATTACTAAGAATATTAGCGGAAGGTTATTAGTTGGATTAAGATGGTGGAATAAAGTTAATGAAGATGGTTCTTCTCAATGGATATTTGAAGCCATGGAAGATCATCAAAAAGTAAGATTAAGTTATATTGAAATGATGATTTTTTGGGTAACAATGATAGCTGCACCATTATTATGGGTTGGTGTATGTTTCTTATGTTTCTTAGGTATTAGAATCAATTATCTTGGACTTGCTATTATTTGTTTTGTCATGCAATCAATGAATTTTGTTGGTTTTGCTTTATGTGCTAGGGGATCTCGTTCTGTTCTTAAGAAGAGGGTTAAGAAGGTTGCTGTTGAACAAGGAACCAAAGTAGCTGTTTCTGCTGCTGCATCTCAATTTTAATTAAATTTGATTTTGTCATTTTCTTTTTTTTCCAATTTTTATACATTTTTTGGTTTCTATAAATCGAAACAAAGTTTGATGTTTTATTTAATCAAATAAAACTTAAATTAAATTAATTAATCTGTTTAAAGACAGTATTAATTTAAATGACAGACCAATGGCCAAGTATAATTGCTAGTGATAATGTTGTCAAAAATATTGGTAGAGTAATTGGTATTGGAAATCATTCAATTGTATGTATGTTGGATAATCAAACTATTAAAATAAGATTATTTAATCAACAAAGCATTACAGAATATGAAAAATGGAATAGAATCACTAAATTATTAAAGAATCAAACAACTAGTTTTCTTCCATTATTAAGAACTGTTTCATTTATTAATGAAAATGATCTTCTACTTGTTGATGATACAAAAAGAAATCAAGAAGTTATTCTAAGTTCCCAAACAAATGGAGATAATATTTCATTTATTTTACTTAAAAAAGGAAAGTATATTGGTTTTATATCAGAAAATTCAGGAAAAACAGTTTCTCAAATAAAACAACTAAGTTACAATGACTTACTTCAAGTAATCTTTCAATTATTATGGAGCTTAAACATTGCTGAAGAATCTTTTGGATATTCTCATGGGGATATTCATTCTAAAAATATTCTTTTAAAGAGAGAACCAAATATCTTGATTGATAGATCTCATAATAGAAGATATTTATTTAATTTAAAAGTCACTCTCATAGATTTTGAGCTTTCTTCATTTAAATATCCAGATAGTACAACTGATTGTATAGGAATAAAAAATATTATTAATTATTGTTCATTATTTCAACAAACTTCACAACAAAAAAGGTTATTGTCTCAATTTAAAAGAAGTCTCTGTTCATCGAAATATTCTTATTCTGTTTGTTGTTTATTTCTTTTGTTTATTTAAAAAAAATGAATTAATAATTTTTAAATTAGACATTGTTACAACATCCAATATTCTCATCAATTTATTCAACATCATTTACTGTATAATTTAATTCTTCAAAATAAAAATAATTATGTCAAGAATGGTTTTTAAAAAAAGAAATAAAAGAATATTTAATAAGTAATATTTTTAATAAAAAATTTTGTCTCAGGGTTTTAACATGTGGCAAAACGTTTTTCCAACAAACCTTCAAAGATACTATTTAAAATAATAATTGATCTTTTTATTCTTTAATTTTTTTCATGTCAAAGAAGCAAGAACCCAAAGAAAGAGTAATTCTTGGTAGACTTACTAATCATCTTCGAATGGGTATTGTTGGACTTCCAAATGTCGGAAAATCTACTTTATTTAATGCATTAACAAAGTGTCAAGTTCAAGCTCAAAATTATCCATTCTGTACCATTGATCCAAACCAAGCTCGTGTTGCTGTCCCTGATGAACGTTTTGATTATTTATGTGAACATTATAAACCAGCTAGTAAAGTAGCTGCATCTTTACAAGTTACTGATATTGCAGGTCTTGTTAAAGGTGCTGCTGCTGGTGAAGGACTTGGAAATGCATTCCTTTCACATATCAGTGGTGTTGATGGTATTTATCAAGTAGTTAGAGTATTTGAAGATGAAGACATTGTTCATGTAGAAGGAGACATTAATCCAATAAGAGATATGGAAATTATTTTAAATGAACTATGTTTAAAAGATGAAGAAATTATTTCAGCAAAGGTTGAAACCCTTACTAAACAAAACCTTCATAAGAAAGATAAAGTTGTTATTGAGGAAATTGCATGTTTAAATAAATGTCTTGAAATGGTCAAACAAAAAAGACCAATTAGATTTAACGAATGGACAGACGAAGAAGCAGGTTTTATTAATAATGTTCTTCCACTTACTGCTAAACCAATGATATATTTAGTTAATATGTCTGAGAATGATTTCTTAAGAAAGAGAAATAAGTATTTATTGAAAATTAAGAATTGGATTGAAGAAAAATGTAAACCATTCCCAATGGACCCAATTATTCCATACTCTGGAGCTATAGTTGCTAAAGAAATTGATGCTGTACTTGCTAAAACAGCTAATCAATCTTCTGAACCAGAAATTCTTGCTGCTGGAGCATTAGCTAAGATTGTTAACACTGGTTATACTACATTAAATTTGATTCATTTCTTCACTGCTGGTCATGATGAAGTTAAATGTTGGACTGTCAGAAAAGGTACTAAAGCACCACAAGCTGCTGGTACTATTCATAGTGATTTTGAGAAAGGATTTGTTTGTGCTGAAGTTATGACATTTGATGATTTCAAACAATATGGAAGTGAACAAGAAGTTAAATTACAAGGAAAATATAGACAAGAAGGAAGAAATTATCAAGTTTGTGATGGTGATATTATGTTCTTCAGAGCTAATACCTCTGGATTAGGAAAGAAGAGATAAAAAAATGTTCTTTTTAAGAGTTAACATAATTTAATGGTTTATCAAATATTAGTTTAAGTTTTTTATTATTCATAAATATAGAAATAATTAATTAAATAAACTCCCACTCATTACTATCAAAAGGTAGATCTTTATTATCACTAAAATACCAACCTCCTTCATTTCCTTCTTTACTTAATTCTTTTTCTAATAACTTTGTTTCTGGGTTTTTAGATTGGGTTTGTGTTTTTATAGGGTTCTTCAATTTTCCATTCTCATATATAAACAGATATGAACGAGACGCTTTCTCTTCTTCTTGTGCTTCTTTCCTTTTTTGTTTAATTTCTTTTAAGTCTTCTCTAAGTTTTTCATCTTTTTGAACAATAGTTTCTCTGATGGCATTATGAGAAATGTCTTGTTCTACTTGTTTAATAGCATTCTCTTCCATTGACTTAATTAAATTTAATGTATTTAATTCTTGTTGTTGTTGTTTAGATTCTTGACGTTTTTCATTTTCCAGGTACTTCTGCATGTTTGACTTATGACTGAAACTCGATTCATGTTGTTGTCTTGTCTAAATTATTATTTTTTAACTCTTCCAAAATTGAAATAAAAAAAGAAAAATAAATATCAAACAACGTCTTTATTTTGAATAAATTTCTTGCAAAACTGACACCAATACATGTCTTGGTTGGAACGAGACATTATAGTGAATAAGATGAGCTATAAAATAAAAACTAGTTCATTTTTTTAAGAATGAATAGTTTATTTTTTTAATAAAGAATAATAAAAAGAACTATTTCACTATATTTCTACCAGTCTTAATTAGTCTTTATGTTTCTTATTCTTCTCATATTTTTTCCTCCTGCTTTCTCTGAAACATGCAAAATGAGATCGATAGAAGGTGTCGACAAAATTGATTTTCTTAGCCCTCATACATTTATTCAAAATGATTGCCCTTGTAACGGAAATAATTGTACTATTGATTTAACTCCATTGGCTTGTGGCATAGAGTTGTATAACATTACCACAAATTCTTTAATGTTTATTAGTCCAATAAATCCTGCATGTTCTCAACTTCCAATCTTTCGTTTTATATTATCTTCAAATATTTATACTATGAATGTAGGATATATTAGAATAACAACAGAAAGCGATTCCTTTGTATCAATTGGTGATTTAGTTATTAGTCAACCAGAAGGTGCTGTTCAATTCTTTGACATTAATGAGACAGTCATTATTAAAAAAGTAAAAAGTGTTAACGAATCAACACTGTCAAGTCTATCTGTGATTAATTCTAAACTTAACTTTATCTCGATTGATAGAAAGGTTACCTTGAATCTCATTAATTCCGATATCCACTTCACTGATTTGATCACTGTCCTTAACCAAGAACTCTTTCTTCGTCAATCAATAATCTACATATCAAAATCTCTCCTTATAGAAAGTGCTCACTTTACAATTTACTATGACCAATACCAAAGTTGGAGTGTTCTTTACGCTAACTCTGCCATTGAAATAAGTTCAATGGCGGTAACTTTAGTTGTTGAAGGAGATTCACTCAGCTCTCAGAGTGATTGTTACCAAGAGTCATGTGCTCCATTCATAAGTAATACACCAGGAAATAAGATCTATCTCAGTGACAATATTACTTTTGAGGTACTTAACGACACTGGAATGGATAAACTTGAAATTCTTTTACAAGATCATTCAGTAGAACTATGTTTTACTAGTTTGTTATTCTGTTTTTCTTTCTTTTTAATTATAATATTCATTTCCTAGGAACTCAAGGATGTTCTGTTGTAGAAAAATACGGATACATCTTTGTGTTTATCCTTTTTTTTATTCTTTTATTACCATTTCTAGTTATTCCTGTAGTAATTTGGATGAATAAAATGGGTTGTCGAAAGAAAGATCCTTATCAGGACTTTGGTTATTAATTGAGTGTAGATTAAATTTCATATATTTTCTAAAAGTTGTCCCAAAAAGGTTATTTTGCCTTAAGAATTTCCGTACTAAAAGTTAAACAAAAATTTATTTTAGTAGATTGTTTTAAGGTTTGGTTCATCGAAAAATGAGGCTATGAAAGTGTTAAAAGAAAGTGTCAAATAATAGATATATCCACAATTTAATATTATGAATATTGAGAAGTGATTATTTCAGTGATTTCAATATGCTCTATTTCTACAATAGAGTTCATTTCTAACATATGAGAATTAGAAGGTTCCTCTTCTAATGTGTTGCTAGTGTTGAATGTGTAGAACATTAAGTCTTTCATGTTTTTAATAATGATTGTTCGTAGTATTTTGTTGAAGTCATTTGTAATTTTAGTGAATTCAATCTTCTTACTGTTTCTTTATGTATTAATTTATTGTTAATATTACAGGTATTATTTCTACATAAGTTAATTCTCTTCTTTGTATTAACTTCTCTTGTAATTCTTTGTATTTATTTATTTTGTAAATGTAATTTAATTCAATGTTTCTATCTTAATATATATCAACATCATTAATATATCCTTTTTTTCTTTGATGATTTGATAATATATATCTGGTATTCTACCATTAAACGAATGGTCACTAACCAATAAATCATTAATGTAATTTATAACCATTTCATCATTATTAATATATTTATGATGTGTATTAAAATCTATTTCATCAAAATCATTAAAATGGGTAATTAATATATGTTTATATATTTGTTTACATACATAATCATGTTTTAATATTTAATTATTCTTCATTACAGGACATCCTAACAATATATGGATAATAGATGCAATATGTTATGACAATGTTTACAATATTTTAATATATCAATATGAAGTATTTTAGATTTAATATTTCCTGTCATAGTTACTCCTTCTTGCATCTTTACTACTTGGAAGAATGTATTTCTTTTTATATTTAATGACATCCATGTGGTTACTGTTAATTTCATAATATTAAATATACAATTTACATTTCTTATATATTCACTTCATTTCTTTCAATTCATTTAAATATCTTTCATTTATTTTATTTGTTACAAATTCAAATACTTTATTTACATCATGTTTTATTTCATTTAACTGTATTATATTCATTCATTGAAATTAATTTTCTTACCAAATACTCTCTTCATTCTTTTAATTATTCATTTTGGATTCTCTTTTACTGCCTCTATCATTTCTCCTATTTCTGTATTTGATATTTATATTTTAAATATATTCTTATTAATTCCTTACAATATTCATCTCGTGCTGACATTGATCACATTCATAATTCATTTATTGTGACGTATAAACTATTTTTGTGGATGTTTGTACTCTATGGTTGGAGTTATATCAATGAATTTCTTATTTGTTTATCTATATTCTCAAACTCACTAAATTTCCATGGAACAATACAGAATCCATATCTTAATTTTGAGATTATATCATTATTAATTTTTCTTATTGTATTGATGCTGCTATATTTCATAATGTATAATGATGATAGAATAGAAGATACATCATTTAATAATCTTGTACAATATTTATTAATATTTATTTTATCTCCTATTTCAATACCAAGATATTTATAAGGGTTATCAATGGTTATTCTTTGTAATTCTGCTAATTCTCCATTTATCTAACCATTGATATTAGCCATTATCCCACTCTTTTCTATATTTATTTTTAATCCTGTTAAAAAGAAGTTCAGTCATATTAATTATAATGACTAAAAGAAAGAAAAGCAAGAATATTAGAATAAATACAAACAGAGCACTAAGTTGAATACACCCTTGTTAAACAAAATATAATAAAAAGAATTTAATAGAAAAATAAAGATTTTGAGAGAATCAAATTTAAGAAAGGTATAAGAATGATTAGATAATGGGATAACTAAAGAAGATAAATACGATAATTTAAATGAAATCATTGAAAGAAAGATGTTACACCCTAAAACAATAATTTGTAAGACATAATAAAATACTCTTATTCATAACCTAAAAAAGTTAATAAAAGTTATTTTAATAATAATGAAATGATGAAAATTCATATAATACACAAAACGGATATCAAATTATTTGAAAAACACTATGATTATATATTTTAATAAACAAATACATAAGTCTCATAAAATAAAATACTAAAATAAATAAACTTTTAAATACATATCAGTCTACATATATATTGGACTTTTCAAAGAAGGTATTAGAAAAATGATAAAAAGAAATAAGAAGAAACTTGTAAATAAGAAAATTGATAATTAAGATAAAACCAGAAACTAAAACATTAGAACAACTCAATCATGATATGCAACACACAACATAAAAATGAATAAAGAAACTAGAAGTTGATAAACAACCAAATAAAAGACTTGTGAGATTGAAATAAAAATGAATAATTAAGCAGGTCATTTAGAAATCATTTTATTGTTAATTGATTGAACAAGACTATCAAGTTGGAATGGACTAAACAAATAATTATTCAAATAACTATTAGCCATTTCACTTCCTTGTTTGCAAACTATGATTGGGGCATTACCAACAAGAGTTTTTAAAGAGGAATAAAAGAAAAAAAATGAAGATTAATTAATCTTTCTTCAATTTGTTTTGGGTTTTTGTTTCAGTAATTAGTCCTAAGTCCTTCATAACATCGTCTTCAATAGTATCCATCAAACATTTGTCATCATGGTCAATCATATTAATACTGTCAGCAGCACTATTAAAACTACTCACAACACCTGTTATAGCACTCATTGGATTTGATTTTCCAGTTGGCATTGCCATTCCCATAGCAGCATTCATATCCATTACGTTATCATTTAAATCAAATAATCGAATGATATATCTTCCACCAGCAAAAATTAAAATGTACCAACTCATACTACTAACATAAGACACGTCAAGATCCATTCCTCCAAGGCCTTGTTGGGTAATTAATTTGAATCGATAACTCAATGGGAAGGGCATTTTTAATACAAGAAATCCATCGAACATGCTTCCGATCCAAGTCATTAAGACTATTTGAATGATCATCATCACCATATTTCCTTTCATTCCTCCAAGCATGCTTGTTGGATCCATTTGAGGCATGTTTGGAACTCCATCTTCAGTTGGAGCTTTTTGAATCATTAAAATTCCATTATCAACATCTGTGAATTTAGCACGTAATTTCTTTACTGTAGAAGAGAATAATACAAAATGTCGTTCACAAAAGAGTTGAGCTTTTTGAAGAATAGTTGCTTCTATGTAGTGTAAGTATATCTTATGGCTTAAAAAAACAGAATGAACAAACCCTGTTGAGAGCGAGGAGTACGCTTTTCATCTCCACCAAGATAATTATTTATATAAGTTCGAAGGTAATTAGAACACACAGTAACAATGAGTAAAGGGATTAAAACCCAATCACGAATTTCTGGAGATAATGTGATGAAATTCTGATATGTCAGAGTGAAATTCATTAAATGAATAATTAGATGATTTATTATTTTATTATTAAAGAAACTATACTTACACCCATAAAAAAGTATTACCAATGATTAATTTAAACTACCATTACTTGGTTGTTAAGGATTGTTTGGTTAGATAGAAAAGGCCCAATTATGAACGTATCCATGGTGAAAGAAAATTGAGTTTTTGTTTTAAGAAAAGGATGACTTTGTTTTAGAGAGTCATCTCATAAATCAGATTTTATATGTCTAACTTACGAGCAGATTTTAGGAATGAAACTGTCAGAGAAAAACAACAAATATTATCTCAATTAAGACAAAGTAGAAGAGAGGCTTGTTTAGCTAAAAGGCGTACTTCAGTTAGTGAAGAAAGTGAAGAAGAGGTAATTCAAGGAGGTCAACGAAAATTTGTATATATGCCACGAACTTTAGAAGAAGAAGAAATTACGCCAACAGCAATTCGTAAACCAATTGATGAATTAAATAATTTTATTAAAAGATTAAGAGAAGCAACAGATGATCAGGAGTTATTTAATGTATTATCAGAGATTCAAACCTTTGTACAGAATGGTGCTAATTCACAATCAATATTAATTAAATTAAGTGGATTATTAAATGAAATCATTTCTCAAATACTAAACCCTGAGCCACAAATTGCAATACTAGCACTTGAAATATTAAATTCTCTAGCAACTGCTTCTAGTCAAAATGTTGATGATCTTATTGATGAACAAATTATAAATATATCTGCACAGGGGCTATGTTCAAATGATGTACGTGTTCAAAGAATGATTATTCATTTATTAGCCAATATAGCAGGAGATTCAGCAAAAACAAGAGACCTATTATTAGCAAATGCTATTGTTCGGGTAATTTTACAAATGGTTCAATTTTATAAACACTCAATCCCAATGCAAATTGATTTAATGTTTTTAATTAGTAATTTATGTAGAAATGAACCATTTGTTGATTTTGAATCAATTAGACCATTAATACCAATCATTCAATCAAATACAAATAGTATAGCAAATAGTGTTTGTGTTGATGCGATGTACTCAATATCTTTCTTAGCACAAAACCCTGAAAATTCAGATTTTATAATTCAAAATGGATTATGTGATGTTGCACTTCAAATAATTGATTCATCAAAACACGAATGTCTACCACCATCATTAGAAACTATCAGTTGTCTTATTCAACATGGAGATCAGTATGCAACATATATTTTTAATAAAGGGTTCATTTTAAAAGTAAAACATTTACTTAAATCTAATTTCACAGATAGTACAGTTATTCATATAGTTTTTGTATTATCAAATCTTGCTAATACACCAAACCAATCAATTATTAAGAGTATTATTAATGATGTTCTTTTCTCTATTGTTACCTTATATTTAGAATCTACATCTTTTAACCTTAAAACAGCAGTTTCATGGTTATTTGTTAATATTATACTATATTCTGAAGATGACAATATTGGTAATTTATTAACTAGTAGTGATTTCTTTGAAACTTATGTTAGTATGTATGATGCTAATGATGAACAATTACTTCTTTTATTATTGAAAACAACATTAAAATTATGTAATTTTGATTATCGTACAAACAGAACATTAAATGTAGTTGATCAATTATTAGAAAATGATATTGATTCTCAAATATCAGCATTAATATCATTAAGTAATATATCAGAAGAAGTTGTTAAGTATGCGAATCTTGTTCAAGGAGCAATACGCTCAGCTGATGCATTTGATGCTTAATTCATTTTTTTGTTATTTAAAAAATATTTTTGATTTTAAAATATTACAACATTAAAATAAAAAAAAAATTATATTTGAACTAAGAAACTTAATGTATTCGGCTCAAAATTTCCTACGATACTCTCTTGAAAGAAGTGGAGAACAAGCAATTAAACAACCTTTTTTCTTTATTGATTTTGGAATAAATTATACAACAGATGAAACATGTGTTCCTATTGAAATATGTATTCAACCATTTACGCTAGACCCTAGTGCTGAACCAGTCAAACCATTTCTTCAAATTATCAATGAAGTAGTTCCAAGCCAATATCTATTAAGAGCTAAACAACATGCTGATTTTGAACATGGAATTACACCAGAAAATAATCCATCTGATCCAACTAATTTCTTATTACTTTGGAATAAAATTAATAATTTTATTTGGACATTTACAAAGAAATGTGGAGAGGCATTTGTTCCAATAGTTATTTGTCTTTCATTTAGGAGGGGTGTTCAATGTATTGAAAATCTTGCAACTAAAGCAGGACTATATGATAAAATTAGTGAAAGTGGATTTATGCATGCACTTGCTTTTGAAGAGTTCGTGAAATTTTTTTATGAGTCACAAGGTAGAGTAGTTCCAATATCTGCTATTCCTAAATGTCTCTGTCCTTTACTTAGTTATATTCCTGAAACAAAATACAAATGTAGTTTTCATGCAAATATTAAAACACGGTCATTTTGTTGTTGCCAGTCTAACGTAGCGTATCTTGTTGGAGAGCTTACTTGTACTTTTAATCCATATAATCAATCTAATATATTACATTCAATGTCAAATGCATAATAAAAGAATATAAAAATTGACAAAAAAAAATTTAAATTATAAGTTTAATTGTTGTTGAGTATATTGATCATCTTTTCGTTGTTTATCAGTTTCTTGTTTAACTTTTTCAATATCTTTTATCATTTCTAAAACTGATTGGTAAGCTACATATGTTTGAATAGTAACACCAATTTGGTCCCATTGTTTTTGATCAATTAACTCATCATTTTTAAGATTTTCACAAACAGACTGATCTCCACATTTGAGCCATTCATTAAATTTGTCAGTATCACTTATTTCCTTAATTCCTGTTCTTTGACTTTGAATGGTTTGTTTTAAATTTTGGATTTTATAAGTTAATTTTTTTATTGCCTCTAATTTATCTATAAGTTCTTTTTCTAAGTTTCCTTGTCCATAACATTTATTTTCTTCTTCTATTTTATTAATTCTGTGGAAAATTTCTTCCTCTTTAATTAAATCTAATAACAAAGTTATAGTCCACCCACAATTTATCCGATTAGGAATTAACTGAACTTCTTCTTGAATATTTTTCTCTTCTTTTACTTCTTCTTTTATTTTTTTTATCTTCCATTCACTTTCATTATTTTCAATATCAATACGTTCACATTGAATATCCTCAGTTTCATTCCATACCCAGTCTTTATTCTCTCCTTTTCCTTTACCAATTTCCCCACAAAACATTCTTAGAGTAATTTTTATAAATTCATTCAAATCTGTTTTCTCAATTAATTTATGTAAAGAGTCAACAGCGTACTTTCTCCAACCCTCATCTATAACAATAGAATATCTTCCTATTTCTATTACTTCAACTAACTTTGCCCATATCTTTTCGTTTGAATTAATTCTTTTCAATATTTTAGCAGATTTTCCCAATAAACTCAATGCCTTTCTTGGATTTTCTTCTGAGTAACTGGCAATTATTCTTGAAATGCAATCAATTTCTTCTGGTCCTAAAATTCCATTAATACTTTTTGAAATATCTAATGCTGTAGTAAGGTATGGTAATGAACTTTTATAATCTCCTTCTTCACAATAAGTTACTCCGATGTTATATAATATACACATTAATTCATGTTTCATTAATGAACTTTTAAACTCTTTTGTTTTAGTTTTCCAAATAGCATCAACTCCGATCCATTTAGCACTTTTATAAATACTAATTAAACTACTCAAATATATTATAAGTACATTTAATAATTGTTTAGTTGGTTGTTGTCTTAATGTAGCATTTCGTTGTTCAGTTAATTTATTAATTAAACTAATATAACTATTTGGTATTTCATATTTCTTTTGAATACATCCAGAAATATCAAAACACTCAGTTACTAACCTATTAAATTTGATTTTAATTTGTGGTTTGAATGTCATTCGTTACAATTTAATTTTTTTTTAAGTTCTTCTTTTCAAAGTAATAAAAGTGTACTCATTAAAGAAAATGGAAAAACCAGGATATTTCCTTTTAACATTTAATTTTTTTTCTTTATCTTACCCACATTTTCTATCCACAATCCCTATTCCATTCTCTTCATAATCCTTTTTTGTAACCCATATATTTTGAATAGACCTAGTGTTAGCAATCATTGCACCTCCTCTCCACGCTGCGTATCGTTGAAGTGTTGGTGTTTGCCCCTTAATAACCTCACATGAAAATGAAGGGAAATAAGAATGCATTGTATCTGTAACGTTTTCTCCAAGGTTTGGAACTAAAGAAGTTCCACCAGCCAGTATTAGTCTATTTGATACTTCCATAATGACATCATAATCACATTTCATTAAAGATTTTAATACAGTATTATCTACCCCTATGTTATTTTCGTCTATCTATGAATGAGTACTTCTGCATTACCAATTAAAAAAAACAACAAACTGTTAAAGGAAATAATAATTCTCTACAATAACTATTTATATCAAATTGATTAAACGTATTTGGAGTTTCTTTCAATTGGTCAATAAATAAATCTCTTGCAAGATTAATATAACTCGGAGATGAATGTTCTGGAGGACTTGGAATAACACCAATGGACTCTCTTTCGATTCTATTTAATATTTGTTGTGATAAGAAATTACCTGCACAGTTAAGTTGAGTTATTGAGTTTTCAAGAACATACCCTGAAAAAACTACAGAACACCAACAAGAAATATTTCCACATTCTAAAACTAACCCATTCGTTTGTCCATATGATAACGCAACTAAAACAGGAGATGGAGATGAATAAATTTTATTAATGCCAAAGTGTTCAAATAATAATTCGTATGACTCATTTCCCATAATTCTTGGATGATCATTTGACTTGACCCATATAACAGAATCACTACTGTATATTTTAAACACCTCTTCTAGTGTTGAAATAAATGCTTCTTTATTTAATTCTCCATTTAATATACATGGTTCATAATCTTTCATACACTGTTTTGAATTTAAAAAACTTGTATTAATATATTTATTTTCTCGTTTATAACAGAAAGGAGACATTCTTATTGATGGGAGTTCTTCAGTTGATAATCCTGCTTTGATTTCTTTTGTCCCTACATCTAATATAATCGTCATCCTTTTATATTTTTAAGTTCTTATAGATTTTTCAGATGGCTTTATTGTGGGAAGAAAACACCTCTCTTTCTTCTCAAAGTTTAAATGAGTCTTTAGAAGAAATGATAACAGTGGAAGAAAAAGCAGTGGACGAAATAGTATTATTTCTTTCCTCTCATAATGTTTATCAACATTTCATGATGCTTGTTTCTTCATTAGACAAATCTCAAAATTGGTCAGAAGAACATTTATATAAATTACAAGAAATATCTATAAGGTTTTTTAAGGAACGTCAAAATTGGTGCAGTGAGTTACTCAAAAATTGTCAACCAAAAGTTATCAACAAAGTACTTTCTATTGCAATGAAAATTAATAATCGACTAAATGGCTATTGTGATGAATTCTTTGATGTTAATACGTTCTACAGTTATGTATATTATCAAATTTTTTTCTCAAAAGGTATCAATTTAGATAAACAAGTTGATGCATTAAAACAATTCAAAACTATTAATCACTTAGAAAAAGGAATAAAAGTGGTTATACAAAATAATGAAATTATTAATAAATATCAAATTCTTCTAAATTATTTAGACAAATGTTCACTACAAATGAGAATAGATTATTTATCGTTCGTTTATCAAAAAATTCAATTCACTGAACAACAATTTGAATTAATGTTAAAGGAATTATCTTATAAAAACTATCAAATTGACATCTCATTATATTATGATGTATTTAATCAAGACCATCTCACCATTAACCAACATTACTTAATGCATTTAGCTCTTCAATTATGTCACTCACCAAAAGCAATTCAATTAATTTCATTGATATTTTCACTTTATTCGAATAAAACTTATGCAACAACAATTTCCCCTTCTTCTCAATGGATTTTAACACAATACATCATTTATATTATTCGATGTATTCCATATTCAACTAAAACATCATTACTATCTAATGGAGTTAATTTAAGAATTACTTCACCAGTCAAAAAAATACAAAAACTTGCATTAATCCTAATGAATGAAATGGAAATGAATAATAAAGAAAAAAGAACAGATTATCAATGGAATATTAAATTACCTATTGAGGCTGATGGTGTTGAAGATATAGAAGAAAGTCCTGTTCCAATTGATGAAAATATTCTATCTACTGAGGATGAACAGTTAGAAGATAAGAATATAATACAAGATGTCTCATCTAAAATTAAAGAGCTAAATGAAAAAGAAACTTCTAAACGAAAAGTAAAAAAACCAAAACATATTATTGAATGGTTAGAACTGTTTGATGATTTTGGTAATAGAACTTATGAAGAAGTAGAATTGATATTAAGTATTGGAGTAGAATTGATTAAGAAATCAAATAAATTTGTTGGGCCATATTTAGAGGAGATTATAAAAAAGATACTAACTATTAAAAATATTTATCGGATAGAACAATTTGAAGAATGGCAGATTGCTATTTTATATGAAGTTGTTACAGATAAATCAATTTATTGTAAAAAAAGAGGAAGTAGTATTTTAATTGAAAAAATTCTAATTGATAAAGACATTGTACTTAAGACAATGAAAAAATGTGGTTATTATCAGGATTGGATAGATCCTTTGAGAGAATATATTGTCCAGTGGTGTTATGAAAATAAATTTGAATATAATATATGTCAAGCAATTGATTATCTCAAAGATTACGGTACTACTAGTATTGTAAATGATTGGTTTATTCTCTACCAAAATTGTCGTTCAAATGATCGAATTGTTCTTTCATTACTCTCAGGATTACTCCAAGTAATTTCTTTAACTTCTCCTGACGTATTCATATGGAGTTGTAGTGATCAAATCCAAAGAGTGCTAAGTCAGTTACAAGTTGATACAGTAAATCACCCAAACAAACAAATTAGAATGGCAGCAACTGTATTAATGGACCAAATTACTACTATAGTTAACACAGAAATAAAATCTGAAACACAAAAAGAAATTTTATTGTTTTAATTGCTAAGTAACTTATTTACTTTTTTATTCATTGAGAAAAAATATAACAATCAGAACGTAATCCATAAAATATTTTTGGCTTTAATAAATCATTGTGAGTAGTAAATTTCCATCCAATATGATTCCCACAAGATTCACAAACAATAATTTGCCAAGCATAACCCTCAAACCATGAAAATTCGTTAGATGGTTGTGTTTCAACTCTTAAATTAGAACAATGAATTGCTGTCGTTACAGTAAATGTAAATCCTGCAGGATTAACATGGTTTGAATTAATTCCACTTGTTGACACTGAGAAGATATTTTTAGTTGGACAAAATATTGTTTTAATATTAAATTCATTACAACACGCACAAATTAATTGAGTAGATTGAATACAATGAATACATATTTTAAATGCATCTTCTACTGTTTGTGCTCTTTCATATTGTAATTCTTCATTTATAGAGAATGGAAGATGGCTATGAACTGCTGTAAGAAATTCATTTGTATCTTGAATTACTTCTAATTTCTCAGAAGTTAATTCTCCTTCTATTTTTTTTATAAAATCAATGACTTGTTTTTTAGAGTATTCAAGACAGTGTAACTTCCAGTACTGATAACCACAACACCCATTATTAACAATCATTGAATACAAATAACTTATATCTTTCATATCAGGAATAATTTCTACTTTTCCAATTGGAATTGTTGTTTCTCTTCTATTGTTTGTAATTAATTTACATCGTTTAATCCCTTTGAAAATAATTGCTATTGAACTTTCATAATCTTCGTAATTAATTACATTACCTATACATCCATAAACTTCTTTGAATTCATTTGTTTCAAGACTGTGTTCATTAATGATACATGCACGTAAGATACCATTAGAACTCCTTAACAATTGTCTAAATGTTCCACATAATCCTCCTCGTAAAATAAATGGTGCAATTGTTTCAGGTTGAAGAAATATATTCCCAACAATTAATGGAACAACTAATTGATGTTCTATTATCTCACCTTCATTCGGTGGGATATAGTGGTGGCTTAATAAATAATTATAAGTTAATTGAGTTGTTTGATAGGTTCTATCAGAACCATTACCACTTTGATTAATACTCTCATCATTAGACATCTGTTGATTATCTAGATTGTTATTAAATGATGTATTTGAATTGTTATTATTCATATTTATCTACATATTTCTTAGTTTTAGTTTTGGAAATAATAATAAAATTAATTTTTATGTTTTTATTCTAAAAAAAATAGAACTTAAAAATTTCTCATTATTTTTTCTTATGTTATTCCTTTTCATTGTACTTATTTCTACAGCCTTTGCTGGAAATGGTCTGAATGTCCAGAACCAATTACTTTTAATGCCATATCCAAGTTCAGTATCGTTTCAATGGAAATCATCATTAGCTATTGCACTAACTTCTTCTATTCAGTTAAATGTAAAATCAACTTGCAATACTGATTGTATGAACTTCCTTAAATCAAATTTCAATCACACTATTTCATTCCCTTTACAACAACAAACAGGTTTACAAGATTTTAAAGTGTCGTTATTTGAAGAAATAGATTTACCAAGAATAACTCCATCAATTTCAAGTGTTGTAACTGATGTTTTTTTAGAGTTTTCTTCTTCAAATCCTATGCCAAAATTACAAATTGGGGTTGACGAAAGTTATGTTCTTGAAGTTACTACTAATGGTATTTCCATTAAAGCAGTTACTGTATATGGTGCACGTCATGCATTTGAAACATTACTTCAATTAATTAGAATTTCATCAAAGAAATTCGTAATTTCACAATTACCAATTAAAATAAGTGATGCACCAAGATTTAAATGGAGAGGATTAATGGTAGACCCTTCAAGAAATCCATTATCTCCTTTGATGTTTAAAAGAATTATTGATACATTGGCATCAGTTAAAGCAAATGTTTTGCATATTCATTTAAGTGATGCACAAACATTTGTCTTTGAATCAAAGAAATATCCACTGTTACATCAAAAAGGAATGTATGATCAAAGTTTTGTTCTTACACAATCTTTTCTTAAAGAATTAACACAATATGGTGCTAATAGAGGTGTTATTGTTTATGGAGAAATTGATACACCTGCACATACTGCATCATGGAATCTTGGATATCCAGGTGTGGTTGCTAATTGTTGGGATTATATTGTTAGTACTTCAATGAGATATGGAGAGAATGTTCTTTCATTAAACCCAGCTAATCCAAATACTTTCCCAATAATTGACGCATTAATGAAAGAATTGTCAGACACATTTGGTACTGATTATGTTCATGTTGGAGGTGACGAAGTATGGACAAGTGGATGGTCAAAATCAAAGGAATATAATGATATTCAAAATTTCATGAAATCAAAAGGAATCAATTCTCTTACAGAGTTAGAAGGATATTTTAATAAGTACGCACAAGAACAAGTGATTAATAATGGTAAACATCCAGTTGTATGGGAAGAAGTATTTAAAAAAGGAAATGCTGACAAAAGCACTATTGTTCAAGTATGGGATGATATTAGATTACTTCAACAAGTTGTTAGCTCAGGTTATAAAGCAATATTTTCAGCAGGATTTTATTTAGATAAACAAATGCCATTATGCAATAATTATGATTCTAGCACTTGTATTAACACTCATTCGATGTGGGTATGGACTAATAGAGATATGTATGACAATGACCCTGTTAAATCACTTTCTTCATCAGAAAAGGAAAATGTATTAGGAGGTGAAGGTTGTTCATGGGGAGAAAGTACTGATGAACAAAACTTCTTTGATAGGGTTTTCCAGAGATATTCTGCAATTGCAGAAAGGCTTTGGAGTAAAGAGAGTGTTGTTGACAAAGAAAGTCATGAAGTTCGTGCAAATTATTTAAGATGTCTTGATGTTAGAAGAGATATCATGAAAGGTACTGGACCATTGTACCATGCATTCTGTCAACTTCCAAAGAAGAATAATTGATTAAAGGACAAAAAAGTTAAAATCTATTTTTAGATTAAAAGAGAGAAGAAAAAACAAAAAATAAATTAAAAAATAAAAATCGACTTTTATGAGAGAAAAAACTAAAAAAAGAACAATTTAAAATATGAACACTCAAAACAATACTATGAACGATGACAAATGTCCTTCAGTACGTCGTATTATTGACCAATTAAAACAAAACCAAATTGAAGAAATTAATTTGTATGACAATCATAAAAAAACATTATTATCAATTTGTGAATATCTTATTGATTCAGGAATTAATTCTGACCTTTTTGAACAATGTTTAACACAACAAGTATTCATGGAATCAGACATTCCACAATCTCTTCATAATAAAAGATCGTTAGCATTTGTTATTCAATTTCTTGAATGTGTAGAACCTCCATGTTGTGAAGTAGAGAATTTACCAAAAGTTATAGCTAATGTAATTCAAATTTATTGTTCTGATAGTAATGCAGAAATATTAAAAACTGTTCCTTCATTAATTGGAATTGTTGGAATGATTTCTGTGTTTCATATGTTTGCGCGTTCTCAAATACAACCAAGTGATCTAAATCGAGAATTAAATATTTTACTTCCTGCAGCATCTGAACAACCATATGTAGCTTCATCTAGAAAATATTGTTTAGCAGCTACAGAAGCATTATTAAAAGCACCACCAAAAGATGAAACAACTGACAGTTTTAAATATTTATCAACTATACCTGAAGTACAATATATTCTTTCTCGATATCCATTGGATAGAACAATAGATCATATTAAACAATTATTATATCAATATAAAGAGAGTAGTATACAATCAACATTAAGAGATGTTTTCTATGGATATCTTGATGGTAGAGTTGTTTCTAAACCGTTTTCATGGCCTACAACTGATTTTATTTCAATTAAAGAAATACAAACAGCTATGAACCTTGATTCATCAACATTTCAATCAATTGTATTAGGAGAAGACCAAAAAGTAAAAGAATTCTTAAACCAACAACAACCAGATACCTTTGAAACAATACAAAATCAACAACTCCCTGCTAGTACACAACCATTAGCCCAACAACAAAGGCAGCTTATGCAAGTACAACCTAAAATCAAACAAGAAAAAGAAGAACGTAGTATAAAAAAAAAGTCATTAAATTCTAAAAACCAAGAAGCTACAAAACCAAAAATGGAAGACGATGAACATAGTAAATTAAAGAAAAAGAAAAGAAGATTTAGTGAAGAGGAAACACAAAATTTAATCGAAGGAGTTCAACAATTTGGTATTGGACATTGGAAAAGCATCTTAAATGCTTATAAATTTGATGGTAGAAGTTGTGTTGATTTAAAAGATAAATGGAGAAATATTGAAAATTCAAGAAATAGGATAAATAAACAAAAAGTCCAACCACAAGTACCTCAACCCCATTCGAATGCATCTATGTTACCTCCTTTTAATTCTGATAATTTTTAATTGATTTTTTTAGATATAAATTAAAAATGAATGAAAAAAAAATAAATTAAACTGTTTTGGCTAAGACAAATCAGTATTAGGACACAGGAGGTACTACTGTTTCTGACATTTGCCTTTCTTGAACAATTGGTTGAATACCCATCTGTTGAGTAATTTGGGCTGAACTTGTTTCTTGGAGTTGACTAGTATTTGAATTAGAAAGTTGTAATTGAGTTGGTTTATTTTGTGAAAGATAAGCTTCGTCATATCTTCTTTTTAATGTTCTTGCACTAAAACGTATTTTTTCTAATACTTGTGGACCAAGCTCAGTTGTACTATTAATGACTTCAGTAACTATTTTCCATACCGCATCACTTTTAGCAAAAGGAATACCGTTTGAAGCCATAATTTTACTAATTTCAGAAGTGACTCGTTTTCCTTCTGAAGTTCTTTGTTTTTCAATTTCTTTTTTAGGTTTCATTTCCCATTTAGCTTTTCCTTCATTTTCTAATTTTTCAAGTCTTCTTTTAAGTTCAGGAGACATTTTAGTAGATTTGCTTTTCTTTGTCTTACCATCTTTGTTTACAGGAGGTTGTCCAGGAATTGTTGTTTCAGTTTCTGGTAAATTCTTTTCACTTTCAATTTTTTCAGCTTGTTTTCTTTTTTCTTTTTCTAATTCTTCTTCTCTCATATCCATTAACTCATCATTAATTTTTTTTCCATTAGTATATGCTTTAACAACATACGGTTTTAATTCATCCGTAATATCTTGATGCTCTTCAATACAATGACAACAAGCATAACCTCTAGACATTCTTTTGAAACAAATAATACACATGTAATGGTCTCTATCTATCTTTTCAACTAACCTATCTCCAAGCCAGTCAACTGTTCTTCGTTTTCTTTCATCAACAGAATGTTTTTTTGGTTTTTCTTCTTCCATTTTAATTTGTTGATTTTTAAGTTCTCTTTCTTTGCCCTCCATTCGGCATTTTTTTTCTTTTTTTCTTTATTTTTTTCTTTTATTTTTTTCTTTCTTTTTGGTGAATTGTTCTCTTATTTTGTTCTATTTTTTCTTTTCTGATCTTTGTTTTGGTAATTTTTCTTTTTTAAGTTTTTTTATTTTCCATTTTATATTTATTATGGAGACATAAATAAATTCTTTGCCTCTCTCTATCTTTTCTTTATTTCAGAATCCTTTATTAATTATATAAATAACTTAGACTAACCTTTTTTCATCTAAACTGAATTCAATTAAAATAAATCAGTTTTTATGTTTATTATGTTAAGCCAAATAAAGTAAGACATTTTCATCTTTTTCATCCTTTTCTAAATATTCTCTTTCAATTAACTTATCTATTCTTTGTTTAATTTCTTCTACATCTGGTTTAAAATCAAGTTTTGGTGTTATAGTAGTTAACAATTCTGAAACAGTCATCTTCTTTTCTTTTTTCATAACTCTAACAACAACAGCATCAATTCTTGTTTCTCTATCTTTAACAATCTTTTCATCAACCTTTTCTTTTTCTTCTTTACTTTCTTTAGTTTGGAATGTGTTAATTTTGATTTTAGGTTTATTGCTATGATAATTAGAATTTAACATAACAACATCTTCCTCTTTTATTTCTTCAGGTTTTTTTATTTTACCATCAAATGATTGAACACATATTAATTTCTCTTTTCCCATTAAACTTTTAATTTGTAACATTAAAATATCATCTTCACCTTCAAATTTACTCTTAAGTTCTTTAATAGTTTTACCTTCACAATTCGTTAAAATTTCAAATTGTAATACATTCATAGTAATTTCTATACCACCAAAACAATGTGCTTTTACAGAAACAATTCCTAATAATGGATTAAAATCAACTTTACGATTTGGATGTTCTTTAATATACCACTTTCTCATTACTTCTTCTCCTTTTTCTATTTCTTTTGGTAACGAAATACATTTAATAGTAGGACATGCTGGCCATGACGTTCCATTAATAACAACCATTCCATATTGACCATTCATACCATTATTACTCATTTCTTTATTTAGTGCTTGATACCATCCTTTTCCTGTTTCAACATCTTTAACCATTTCTTCTAATTTAAATGTATATGAATTACCACATTCTTGTCTTAATTGTTCTAATACAATCTTTTCATCTTCAGCTTGAAATCCCTTATATAATAATCGTTTAGATAATAACAATTGATAATGTTGTTCAAACGTATCTTTTCCATTGAGAAATTTGAATATTTGTAATATTTTACTTGCCCATAGTTGGTTCATTCCTCCTTTTCTTAACATTCTATCAGCAAATTTTACCAATGCAATAGCAACATCGTTATCAAACGATGAAATGAATTTTTCAAATGATATTTTAATAATAGTATTAATCATTGGAGCCTGTTTCTCTAATTGTGAAAGATAATCATATAATGAAAATATTTTATTAATTTTAATTTTTTCATCTTTTTCTGAACAAAACTCTTTACCTAAAGTTACAATAACACCAATTAATGCCTTTTGAATGTCTTCGTCTTTTTTTACTCGACTTCCTAATGAGATAAATAATAATATTGAATGAGTTTTTTGTTGGGCAATAAATTGTTTTAATTGAGTTAATTTAGTTACTAGAATTAATGGAAGTGTTTCTGTCATTAATTCTTTTTCAGTAAAAGCAACAGTGTCAATTTTCATTGTTGGGTAATGGACTTGTGCAATATGCTCTTCTCTATCAAACATCGATTTGACAGCATTTAAGTAATCTTCTAATGTTTCATTTATTTTATTTTGAGCTGCAGATGAGTAAAATTCACTTGTAGATTTTAATAATTTGTCTTTGAACTGGTTTTGTAAATTACAATCAAACATCATCCTAACAAGAGAAGACACAATATTATTATCATAATTACTTCCTCTTAAAGTGTTAATAAGAACAATTAACATATCAATGATAGTATTTGTATTGTTTGATAACACAACTTCACGGAATAAACCAAATGCTTTTAAAATTAATGGGTCTTTATTACTAATACGATCATAAGGAAGAAGTAAATTTCGTAAAAGAGCTAATTTCTTTGAAAATATAATGTATTGTTGATGGAGTTGAGTCAGAGATGGCTCTATTACTAATCGTTGTTTAGTTAATGAGGACAATGAAGTAAGGGTTGAATCTACAATACTTGTGATTTGTTCAATAATATTTCCTTCAGGAGAATAGCATAAGTTAGAAATGTAGTTATAAACTATATCATATGAGAGCGTTGGTTTTCTATCATTAATAATATCATCAAGACAAGTAGAAATAGCAGTGAGTTTTTCAGTTTTACGATTGGTTGTAGGAGTGGTTTTAGTGTTAATGAAAAATTGAATTTGGTTATTCTTCTTCAATTGAAATAATGTTGTTGTCATTTCTTCTTTCTGTTTTACTTTTTTTTAGTTAAACTTTCGTTTCCTTGATTTTATTATTTATTATAGTAAAATAAATTATAATGCTTATCACTTTTTATTTTTTTGTTAATAATGAAAAAAATGCAAAATAAATTGAAGTATAACATAGAATCATTCATACACAAGGAATAAATTATCCCATTGTATAATAACCATTGAAAATATAAAGATTATTACTAACAGCTGTTGCAATAAGATTTTCTGTTGGGTGGAATCTTGTTAATGCCACTTTAGCTGAATAATCAATTGGCATTCCTGGAAGATGATCTCTTGGTGCATATTTCATTAATAATTTTGTTGAAAGAGGTTCATTACTTGGAATAGAATTACGAGGAATAGTTTGTGGTAATGGAGCAAGAACTTTAGGTTGGAATCGATGACTGAGTAATGGTAGTGTTTGTTTATTCTTTAAGTCATGAACAATAAATTCTCTATCATAACTACCAGTAACACAATACTGATTAGTACCATCTAATGAAAGATCAAATTTATCATATAAAACATCGTTAGCTTCAAGTTCAGAAAATCTAGAAATAAGATGGTCATGAATTGGAACAATAGAAAGTGGTCCATCAGATTTACGTAAATCAAATTTACGAATAGAGAGATAGTCTCTAACGACTAACGTATTACCATCTTTTGTCATTTTGATTGATGAAATAGAAGGGAATGATTCTTGTCGTTGTGGATTAGCGGAATAATCATCAGAATTAACAAAAACTATTTTATTATTATAACTTTTCTATAAATTTTATTATTATAATATTAAAACAAACATTTAATTGCAGATGAACAAGTTTTTGTTGCTCTAATATCACATAAACGTACTGTTCCAGTAGAAGATCCATACATGAAGATATGATCACTAAGTTCTTTTGATTCTACACAAGTAATTAATTCTTTTGATTCATCAACATTCCATTCAATTAAGTTATAACAAGAATCACAATAATCGAAATTCCACAAATTAACTTTTAAGAAATCTGCTGATAAAAAGGTTTCCATATCACCCATTGGACATAATGAATGTATTGGATATCCATGGTAATTACCATATGTTTGTTTTAATTCAGGGAACATTGTTTGTTGATCAGGGACATATTCAGGAACTTCAGAGCCATGTTTATAATGTGTAGTGTACATAGTTCTTGATGCCGTTTTCCATAATTTGATTGTTTTATCTATTTAACATTATTACTTATTACAATATAACAAATGATAAAAGAATAAAACAAACCATTTGTAGTTAATAATAATGTTAAGTCATCAGTTGGTTGATGAACAAATTTAACAACATTAATTTTTTCTTCAATTTCTAAACTTTTAAGACAATCAAATTCTTTTTCATGTGATGCAAATTCTGTCCAGAATTTAAAATCAACTTTACCTAGTTCATCGTTCTATTAATTATAAGTAATTAGAGAACTTAATAAATTATTTTGTTATACGTAACAAACTTTTGACTTCTTAAACAATACAACTCGTCCACCATAATCACCTGCTGCTAAGTAGTCTCCATTAGGAGAAAATTCTATTGTAGAAACAGTGTCTTGGTCACTGATATCATCTTGAATCGAACGATCACCACCAAAAACTTGTGTTAATCTCCAATCAATAGAATACATTAAGGACTTTAATTTTTCTTAGATCTTTTAACTTAATTTTTTATTTTTAAGTTTTTTAAAAGGAACAAAATAAGAAAAAAAAAAGAAACAGTATTAATTCAAATCAGTTAAAAAATGATATTAATAACATTATTTTAAAACAAATAAAAAATAAATCTTCAAAAATGATATCATTTAAATCTCTCAAATTTTTATTGACTTATTCTTTTTGGATGTATAGAAGATGTGGAGACCTAAGTTCATTTATAAAAGACAGACAAAATGAAAGACAATTAATTCGGTTATCTCGAAGAGGAAATTTTATGGCAAAAAAACGAATTATTGAAATTGATGATGAACAATTAAAAAGTTATGAAGAGATATATTCTTTGTTAAATTCTAAAAGACTTATTGATCAGTGCCATGGAACTCAAGCACTGAGGAGGGCAAGTGAGAAAGAAGTTGAAAATGGATTTTTATCAGAAGAATTTTTGATGGCAGGTTTATTGAGTCAACCCATTATGCAACTTAATAAATTACCAGGAATAATTCAAAATGAATTATTAACAACAACGATAAACATTTCATCATTACAGAATGGTGCTGAATATCTTATTGCTATTGGTTGTTTAGATTCATTAATTAAATGTTCAAAATCACAATCAGAATCAAGGAATAAGGCTCTATGGTGTTTAACAAATTTATTATGTCATAAAAAATTTAGCTATAATGAACAAGGAAAAAAAACTGTAAACCAAATAATTCAAGCAACCCTTAAACTACCAGAAATAAATGAATTGGCGTTATGGACATTGAAATGTTGTGGATTATATTACCAAAGATTAGAAGGTGGAGATGAATTGTTTCAAATTTCTATTAATGAAATAAGAAATAAATTAGAAAGTACATTTGATAATGCAATTATGAGTAGTGATACTATTATTATTTGTGAAGCGTTATCACTTTATGAATTATGTCCAAACTTTCTAACTGAAGTAACATTACAAAATATATTAAGAAGTTTTGAATTAAAAGAAATTTGTATTAAAGAAAATGTCTTACATATTGTAGAAATTATGTCATTATATACTGATGGAATGGCTTTTGTATTATATGAACAAATTATACAAAGTTGGTTATGTGAAAAGATCAGTATAAATGAAAATAAAACAATGACATTATCAATGATTCTTCTTATATATAAATCTATTGATATTCATGAATCATTATTCAATCAAATTAATAAAACTTTCTTAACTGTTTGTACTTCAATGTTTTTTTGTTCATTTATTTCAGTAGAGAACAAAAATGATATTGGGCTATTTCTGATAATGTGTTGTAAATATTATAATCTCTTTCAAATAATCTTTTCATTAAATAATTTCTTATCATTAATAGTGCATATGGCATCTTTATCACAAACACTATTAGATAAGGTTATAGAACTCTTGTTT